AAGTTTTCACTATAGGGTGTGTGTGCTTGCCAGAGAGAGACAGAGCGAAAGAAATCACCTCCTCCGGGGGCATGGCCACACCGCCATCCCTTCTCCACGCTCCTCTCACGATCTTAGGTGCATGCACACGCACATGTGCCCAGTGTGATTCTCACACCACGGGGTCCAGGACTGTAACCACGAAGACGGCCATGTGGGATCCGACATGCTAACCTCCATGTCACCTGCTGGCCTTCCATGGCTGTAAATAGTTTAAAATTGGGAGAATTCACACAGATTTCTTGTATTCTTGTAGGAAAACAAACCGAAGATGTCAAAAACTCAGGAGCCCATTTCTAGCTTCTTTCCTCGGGAAGCGAAGAACAGACTCGAGTTGTTTAAGACCCTGGGAGCGTGTGTCTGGGTGGCAAGACTTGAGTCGCAACTGGAGGCTGCTCACGAGCACGGCCTGCCTGCTCCTGCACATGGGGAGAATGCAGCCCCTGACCGCAGCTCACAGCTTTGCTCGAGGAGATCAATAATTAAACAGCTCTGAAGGGATTAAAGTCCTGGTCTCCTGACTTCTCTCCTGAGCCTCAGGCAGCGGGATGCCTAGAGCAGGACAGTAAGAATGAACTCTCGGGGCCAGAGGGTGGCGTGGTGGTTAAGGGCACTGGACACGCCCACCTGGTGGACCCTAGTTTGAATCCTGGACCCGGTGGCTTCCTTTCTCACTTCCCCTTTCTCTCTCTCTGTATTTCTCTGATTTTCTCTGATCCAATTAAAATAAATGAATAAATAAGTAAAATGAAATAAATAATTCTTAAAAAAAAAAAAAAAAAGAAGAAGAACGAACGAACTCCGGAGAGAAGTCAGGGACACCCACAGCGTTAATCGGAGCAAGGCTATGAGACCCCAAACCTCTGTTCTTTATAAAATGGGGACACACTTTGTGATGATAATTCTGTTAACACAAAATGAACACTTTTCATTTTTTGGTTAGATTTTTGCCCCAGGGTGGTATGCACAATGGAGAGAAACAGAAATAGTAAGAGGGAAAGTGAGAAATAATGGCCCCAGGGGGATGGCCACACTATAATTCCTTTTCTTGGGATTTTGGGCACGTACGCACATGTACCGAGCATGATTTTCAAGCTGCCAGATTTAGGACTCGAACCATATCAGCCATGTAGGAGTGCAGAGTCTCAACAGCACACCACCTGCTGGCCCTCAAAAACAAACCATTTTAACACCAGGAGTGCCAGAAAAGGATGTTGTTTAATTTTTTTTTTATATGTCATTAAAGATAATATTTAAAAATGTTTAATGTAGGACCAGCCCATAACCTAGTGGTTTTAAGAGAGTTGGATCCCACATGGCGGATGGTGGTTTGAATCCTGGCCCTGATACCCTGAAAAACACAATGGATGCTTGAGTATGCATCCCCCAAACCCCCACAGGATGGAGAAATGGAGGAGAAGGGGCTGAGGCACGACCACGCCTCTCGGGGGGTGTTTTCTCTCTCCCTCTCTCTCTCTATGTGGTGAGCATATATGCCCATAGGAACCGGCAACTTGTTTTCTCATTTTCCTTCTCTTTCTGGTCAACTTCAAAATAAAATAAAATATAATAATGACAATAAATTAAATAAAAATAATTCTTAAAAAAGATAAAGAAGGGAACCAGCAGTTAGCGTAATGGCTATGTCGCTGGACTCCCACGTAGTCGATCGTGGTTCGCGTCCTGGACCCGGTGGCTTAAAACTCACGCCGGGCGCGTGTGCGTGCGTGCCCAAGATCCCGAGAGGAGGATGGAGGAGAAGGGATTGCGGCGTGACCATCCCCCCTGGGGGGTGATTTCTCGCTTTCTGTCTCTATGTCTCTCTCTGTCTGTCTGGCGAGCGCATGCGCCCTATAGCAAAAATCTCTACAAAAAAAAAAAAAAGATAAAGAAAAGAATTCTCAAACCTTCCAACACGCCCAGTTTCATACTTCTGGGTAAAACATTTGAGAGACAGTTAAGTTCCTCGCTGTGAGGGTTCTCAGTGGCTTGACTCACTTGTGTGGGCAGAGACAGTCCTGACCTGCCCAGAGGAGGGCTACCTGCCACCCTGCCTGGTGGGCCCCTGACGCGCCCACTACTCAGCTTCCTTACCACTGTGGTCCAGGGCACCTGGGGGATCCTGGTGTAGGTCATCGTGATGTAGATGATGAGGAAGAAGACGGTGAGGACCCAGTAAAATACGGCCACAAACATGACCCAGCCAAACGCGGGCACTCGGAAGTACTCAGTCCCGGCGATCAGCGTCCAGACCAGCAATCCCAGAACCTGCGAGATGGCAGAGGCAGTGGAAAAGCAAAGGGAGGCGAAGTGGGAAACAGAGAAAAAGAAGAGCAGGGACAGAGGAAAAACAGAATTACGCAGAGTCAATGACAACCTTCACAATGGACTACCATATACACGGGACTTAAAGATGCGAGGGGCTGCTGGGGCCCATAGGTGGTATGGTGGTTAAAGGCGCTGGACTCCCACATGGGCGACTGTAGTTCAAGTCCCGGACCTGGTAGGTTGCTTTCTCATTTTTTTTTTTCTCTCTCTTTCTCTCTCTCTCTCTGATCAAACTGGAAAATAATAATAAAGCTTTTTTTAAAAAAAATGTAACAGGGTTTCCTGTGTTCACCTAGAATAATGAAAGGAACAGGTTAAGGGGTCGTTTATGGCCTATTTTCAGTCTACCAGTTCAGGGTAGCTGAGGGCCTCTAGACAGGTAGAGGACATGATGGTGGGATCGGCAGGTGGCATGGTGGTTAAGGTGCTGGACTCCTGCTTGGCTGACCACGGTTCCAATCCCGGACCTGGCAGGTTGCTTTCTCACTTTCCCTCTCTCTCTCTCTCTCTCTCTCTGGTCAAATTAAAAATAATAATAGTAATAATAAATGAAATA